CTCCTGGGACCCTAACAAGTGCTACCACCTCGGATCAGAGGGAATTTTGGAAAGCCAGCAATTAAGTAGGGGTTCCACGCCCCCCTCACCCCCTCACCCCCCATCAGATTTAGAGGCCTTGCTGCCAGATATAGTTTATCGCCGTACCCAGGACCGGCGTAACATATAAAGCGAAGTTCAAATTCCAGTTATATTTACTTACGCGCAAATACCATTGGGAAAATTATGAAATCGACCTCTTCTCCTCTCCGCGTATGTGTTAATTAGTATCAATAACTAGTTGATTATAATTAATAATAGTTAATAGTATTGTATTAATAGAATTCATTAACTCAACAAAAAAAAACTATTAAAATCTAAAAATAATTTCTGGCTTTAAATAACCTAGAAATGTTTTATAAGGTGTAAAAGCAATTCAATGAATAAATCCTGTGCTAAATTTGTTATAAGCGATCCATGCGCTGAGGCTGTTAAATTGTTTAGAGTATAAATTCCACATTTTGAATTTTTATGATTCAGGGTATGTGCTACCACATCTTCCATTCCAATTTCAGTTCATAGTTTCTTTTGGGGATAGATTTATCTTGAGTACAGTTTCTTTGATCATTTGGATAATATGGCTAATTAATAATATGATTAAATCCTGAACAGGACTTATCACAAATAAAATCCCCTACCCACACACCAAAATATGGAAATCTCTCAGTCTACTGAATAATGAGTTCATTTCACACTGGGTGTCCCTTAAAAGTTCAGCAGTAGATAATACAAGTGATGTTTATAGACGTAATACACACTATTTAATAAATAAAGATGGGGCGTCTATTTTAAATACGAAGTATCCACTATAACGATGTTTAAAATAATAATTGGTCGACATGCAAAATCCAACCAACAAAGTAAAAATGGATCCCTGTTTGAAGTGAGATCTTAATGAAATCATCATGAATTGCTAGAATAATATGATAGGATGCCTAATCTTCTCCGCTACAGTGATCAATTGAATCGTTTGAAGGACGAGTTGAAATAAAAAAATAAGACTTTTTTGCCTCTCGGTACAACTGTAACTGATTTTTACTGTGCTTTTGCAAGAATATGACACAAAAATAAAAGCGTACAAGAAAACAATCAAAAAATCACCTGCATAAATCAAAGCCCACGTCTAACTGCTGAGCAAAGAACGAAAGACCCTTAAATATAAATTGTCTGCAAAACAATCTAATATACCAAGCCACTGTCAAATCAGCAGATAAAGAAAAATATACATAGGAACAACTGAAGGACACTGGAAACCAAGAAATTATGCATCGTTTACAAACAGTTGAACACAAATTACTAAATAAACGATTAGAACTCATCTCAAAATGCAGACAATGAAAGACATTTTTACTACCTTAATTAAACATCTAAAAAATCAATAATATAAAAATAAAATAAAAATAAACAAATAAACAAAATAAAATTACCCAATTCAATAAATAGGTAAACAAATGAAGTGAATAATAAACAAATTTAAAAAAAATACTATATTTTATGTATCAGAACGACGTTAAGAAAAATTAATGACAAAGTGAATTGTTTTTCCACTTTGTCATTAGTTTTCTTAACGTGGGTTTACACTGTGCCAATGATTGGGTATTGACATCGGTACCGTGTGGGAGGTAGACACTCGGTGTCTATGGTTATACGCATTATGGCAATTCGATTTTGTACAGAGTTTCCTGATAAAGTGAGTTGATTATTCAATATACAGTACAGGGTGCGATGGGCAAATTATCGCCATTTTATATTTTTCATTTCGCGCATGCGCGTTGTTTTTGATTTTGTGTGCACAGACTAGTAGTGTCATTTGAGCACTGTCTACGAGAAAAAGCATCATGATGCAATTCACTCCGCCAGAAATTTGGAAACGGCATACTGCACTGCTTGGCATTCACGCCGGAAGCTCTAATACGAAAATTTCAGTGTGTTTGGGTGACGATCTGAGGACAGTGCAGAGGATTCAGAAAGAGTTGGGTGAGTCTAATTGTGATTGCGAAGGTACGGCAGCTCGGAAAACTCACTCTGATCGGTCTGATAATAAAGAAACTCCGAATTTTTTGGTGAGGACCTCAGATTCAACACAGAGGCCAACATCAAGTGACTTGAGGAGATAGGGCTACCTCGGGTTAAGAGGTTGGCTTTTAATAGACCCTTATGTCTGACAAGAGGACTCTGCACCATGCCACACAAGCAGGAGAACACACTCAGAACTATCAGATAATTTCTGCGACCACATCACCCGTTATATCTATCAACCTAACTCACCAGAATATTGATTATTGTGTGGGTGCGGGAGACCAAGAAAACTTGTAACACTAAAGATGAACTGAAGGCAAGGATTATGGCAACATTCACCAGACTGAAGAAGGAGACAGTCCACAAAAGTTGCAGGAGATCCGTCTGAGGGCCGTAGTTGCAGCTAATAATGATTTTATTGAATAAATTTACTCTTTAGTATTTCAAGATACTTTTGTGTAATTTTGGTAAATATACTTATTAAAATGAGATGGCAATATTTTCTTCATTTTTGAGTAATTTATACAATTTATCAATCGCGTTGTTTGATGGATAAATTGTCGTATTAATTATACACACACACGCATATATATATATATATATATATATATATATATATATATATCTCCGACTGACACCAATTCAGTCGGGTTTCGATCCTAGCTAGAGGCAACCTGATGTCTAGCCACACTGATGAGCTGTGAAACAGCGAAACAGTCTGTGGATGACGTTATATTGGCTCCTGAAAAATTAATTTCAGTTGAGCTCTCTGGGGAGGAGGTGTGGGTTGGTAAACAGTGACTATTGTAGCTAATATAGCGAGACTCTTCGCAAAAGCGAATTGAATCACTGTCGGTCACTGGGTGTGTTTCTAAAAGAATAAATACGCTAAAATCCACCTTCATGCCTACCGTGCGCCGACGGCTTAATGGTTAGAATCTCCGATTGACACCAATTCGGGTTTCGATCCTAGCTAGAGGCAACCGGATGTCTAGCCACACTGATGAGCTGTGAAACAGCGAAACAGTCTGTCTGTGGATGACGTTATATATATATATATATATATATATATATATATATATATATATATACTGACTTCCCACAGACACCACCCAGAAATAGCCCCCATATAATGGTAATATATTAACAAAATGTAGACGTCATTGCCATTAATCTAAGTATGTCACACCTATTGCTTGGTGTTATATGTAGGATGTGTTTCTGCCGCACCCTGTGTATATAAGATCATTTTATTGTGGAATGTTTCTAAATGGCATTACCAGTTCGTTTTATTGTCATTTAAACTTTTGGTTGTTTGGTGAAATGTTTAGAAAATGTGTTTCTACAAAAACCTTTCCGTAGACCCCCGTGTTATCTATCTATCTATCTATCTATCTATCTATCTACACACAGACACAGACAAACACATACATACACTCATACATACATACATATATATATATATATATATATATATATATGTGTGTGTGTGTGTGTGTGTGTGTGTGTGTGTGTGTGTGTGTGTGTTGTGTGTGTGTAAAAGCTGTTCCAATAACTTGGACCTATTTTAAATGTGAATCAAGTTTAAGCGTCTAATAACATTTTTTCATTTTTATTTTAGATTTGGTGGACATCTGGGCAATATTATTTTTCATACATAATTGCCATGACTTAAATAACATGATCCAATAGAGAAATAATTAAAACTTTACCAATAACACTGATTAATTTACTGCTGAATTTGATCCGTCTTAATGAAACACCCTTATATATAATCCGTCTTAATGAAACACCTTTCATATATATATATATATATATATATATATATATATATATATATATATAAACAGTGTAACCCGGATATAAGAGAGTTGTCGGGACTGGAGAAGAAGTCTTTTGTATCCGGGTTGCTCTTATATCCGGGTTGTTTATATCCGGTTTGGTCTATTTTATATACATTAACACAGGCTCTAATTTGGGACCAGAGAAAATCTCTCATATCCGGGTTTCTCTTATATCCGGGTCTCTTATATCCGGGTTACACTGTATATAAATATATATATATATATATATATATATATATATATATAATGTGTGTGTGTGTGTGTGTGCGTGCCTGCGTGTGTGTTTCTGAATAGGTGTGTGTGTGTGTGTGTGTGTGTCTGTGTGTGTGTGTGTGTGTGTGTGCGTGTGGACAGGTATATAGTTGGAATAAGTATTTTTGGCGCTCTCGGTGTCTAATATCATACTTTGGGAATAAAATTTATCCTCTCCATAATTCAAATGTGGTCTTTTCATTTGGGACCTATTATTTTTCCTTTAGTTCTATAGGCAACGCCATTATATTTCAAATGCAGCTTAAACCACTCCGGAATCGAAATGGAAATTTAATTCGCTTATTTCGGTTGCCGTTCCGATATCTTTGACAATAAAGCAATCGTGAGAGCGCGAATATATACCATTCCAGTATCCCTGACTACAGAATATTCACATGAGAACACAATACGCATATCGTAGACACTATCTGAAAAGTTACAAAGCATTAAATACAAAATTGACTTTGAAGGTCGAGTCTTGACTCCGCTGAATTGTTCCGCTCTGTACCCTCAGGGAACTTTCTAAGTATATCGGCTAATGGATCATGAAATGACCCATTAGAATTTCTTTTCTTTTTTTTTTTTCTTCTTTTAAATATCGGAGGAGAGGGATGACAAGATGTGGTGCCTTGTTGGAATACCTTTAACATTTCTAAATTCTTGGAGAAATGAAAACGAACAAAAATAGCAAAAGGTAAACTGCTTTTGCCCCTGAATTTACTCCTTGGTATTTCGAACCGAATGGATGTGAAAGAGTTTTTTTTTTGTTTTTTTTTTTTTGTTTTTTTATTCAGTACACTCCTTTAGTACTTGATAAATCTATCTGTTTCCTTTAGTGATTAGAAAATGACTTCTTCTTCTTCTTCTTCTTCTTCTTCTTCTTCTTCCTCCTCCTCCTCCTCTTCTTCTTCTTCTTCTTCTTCTTCTTCTTCTTCTTCTTCTTCTTCTTCGCGCCGTGTATCTCCGAAATCTGGAAGATCATGTCTCTCTACCATTTCTTGTACTTAGTAAAATATATTTTTTTTTATCGCTCTTAATCCAAGTTCTGGCAAGCATTTAAACGAACTAGATTTCTTCTTCATCATCTTCTTCTTCTTCTTCTTCTTCTTCTTCTTCTTCTTCTTCTTCTATGTACTATGTAACTTCGGGATGTCGACGATTATGACTCTCCACAATTTCCTGTCTTGTATGTATTTTGCTATCTCTCCTAATCCTTGTTCTTCAATGTACCGTGTCATTTTGGAATAGGTGTGAGCATGTCTCTTAAGAAGTTTTAGCTTTTAGAAAGGATTGTCTTTTTCTCTATCTCTCTTAATCTATATTCGGCCAAGAATTTACGCAATTCTTCTTCTTCTTCTTCTTTGAACCGTGTATCTTCGAGATGTGAATGATCATGGCTCTCCACAATTTCTTACCTTTCGTAGCGCTTAGTAAAATTTGTCATTTTGCTATATCTCCTAATCCCTGTTTTCCCAAGCATTTAAACAAGCCCTTTCTTCTTCTTCTTCTTCTTCTTCTTCTTCTTATTATTATTATTATTATTATTATTATTATTATATTTGCACCGTGTATCTTCGAGATGTGGACGATCATGGCTCCCCACAATTTCTTATCTTTCGCAACGCTTAATAAAATTTGCCATTTTGTTATCTCTGCTAATCCGTGTTTTGCCACCCATTTACAAAAGGGCGTAGGTCGGTTATGCCCTGGTTTCCTATTACTGATTTCCTGTCCCTTTTAGTTTCGATATGACGAGTGAGTGTCAAATTCTCTAAGCCCTCTTTCCTCATTATATACCCTAGACATTTCCACTGTCTCTTTCTGATGATAATTATAAGTGTCATTTTCGGTTCAATTTTCTCTAAAACTTGGTCGTTGATCGCATGTTCATTCCGTTTTATTCTCAGCATCCTTCTGTAGAACCACATTTCTGTTGGCTCAAGGCTCTTCTTTCAGAATGACTACTGGTAGGCATAAAAAACGGAAGCCTTTCACACACACACACACACACACTCTCTCTCTCTCTCTCTCTCTCTCACTCCCTCACACACACTAACATTCACACTCTCAAAACACTCACATGCACACGCTACCCCAACCACTACAATTTTAACCTGTTCAAGCCTAGCGATAATAGTTATCGTCAACACACATTCTCATAAACTACGCCTATTTTCTATTACTTTGTAACCCTCTTTCTAGAGAGACTCTTGGGCCTTACTCGGGGTGGACATGATTGCAAAAAAATACATATATCCACGCACATATCCCCATAAACTGTGCATGACCATGCATATACATGTATACGATTGAATAGTAAGTTCGATCCACACTGGGTGCTCTGTAATTTCATTCTTATGCCATATCTAACCTACGCTTCCTAAATCGCTTTGTGGACTTTGACATCGAGTCAGCTAGCTAGATCAGTTACGACTGAGTTGTAAGTTCGTCCTTCATTGAGCATTCCATTCTACGCTTAGTAAATCCTTTATAGATAGTGTAGTCTTAGAAAACACTGTATGACGATGGGCAGCTTCACGCCTGAGGCGATAATCAGGCTACGACTACATTATTTTATCTACAAGATGTCAATAAAGTCAGGACATAATGTTTAAAACCAGTGACATGTTCATGCGCATATCCCTCAGTAGTTTCCGTTCTAGGGGAAAATCAGCTATGGGTACTCCAGATGAGTCAAGCGTCGAGTTGGAAGAGAATTTCTGAGCAAAACATTCAACCTTATCTGCTGTAGATGCCAGGACTTCAAATTGATTAACTAGAGGAGGAAGGAAGTCATAAAATGAGTCCCAATCAGCTCTTTCATAACAGAACGGAAATTGATGTTTACAGATACTATCGCACGATCAAAATTGCAAAGAGGGCAGAGCTGCATAGTATGACATGAGTCAGGGATAGAGACAAAGAGGAGATTGAGAAGAGAAGCGTGTTTCTCAAGGTCACAGGGGTAACGCGTGGGGAAGTCCACCAATTGCGTAAGAGATTGAGTGGCATCCAAACCCTGAACTTCTTATTCAGGGTTTGGGTGCCAGCGAGGTCAGTAACAAAGTGATTAAGCCACCTCTCATGGTGGGCATTAAAGTCACAGAATACAAATATTTGCAAAAGGGTATAGAGCGATGGCCTTGTCTATATAATCGGAAATATTATCTAGCACGCTACAGTACGGAGATCAAAGGGTACGATAGACAAAGAAGTGATAACTGCCTCTGTTTAGTAAAGAGAGATAGGCAAGAATATAATTGCTGTAACCTAGGGAAGGTTGCTGAAATCACGCAAATATTGGTAATGAATGATAATACTTAGGACACGAACAACACATATAAGATTTATTTAGCAGCGCGTAGAAGAAGTCAACTGCTAGGAATCAAGTGAATTCCGCAATGAATCACTAACTGCAGGATATCTACCAACCTCATCACGCGGTCGGATGTGGCACAAGGCCGAATTTAATGCGGGGTATCCGAGCCCGTAGCCTCGGCCAAAAATTCATCGTAGACCCAGTATAAAACAGGGTCTGCTAGCTGTTTCCAGAGACGAGACTCTGCCCTTAGACATAGCGTCGCCTGGGGATCATCTCTGCTCGGAGGTAGAGAATTTGACCAGTACAGCTGAAGACGAATCCCCAACTGCAGGATATCTACCACCCACCCCGCGCGGTCAGATGTGGCACAAGGCGGAAATTAATGTGTGGTATCCGAGCCCGTAGCCTCGGACAAAAATTCGTCGTAGACCCAGTATAAAACAGGGTCTGGTAGATGTTTCCCGAGACGAGACTCTGTCCTTTGACATAGACTCGTCTTTTTTATCCTCTCTGCCCGGAGGTAGAGAATTTGACCATCACGGCTGAAGACGAATCTCCAACTGCAGACCAACATACAGTATTTACTACTGTATTTATGTGAATGGGGACATACCGATTGTCGTCCGTAGGTATGCTACAACATTAAGAATAGTCAGGAGTTTCAAGAGAATTCCCTAGACAGCGGGAGATGTTCGCGGAGATAAACTCCCAGGCCATGCATGTGGACATTAGAGTCCTCCCTAAAGAGAGAAAGAGAGGAATCGAGGGGGGGGGGCATTGCTTTTTAAGATCAATTTCGCAGAGAGCTAGGATGTCCAGAGATTGTTGAAAGAGAAATGATTCCACACTGCAGAACTTGGTAAGTATTGTGAGACCGGAACTACCTTCACGATAGACTCTTCCAGGTCTATATTAAGTATGCGACAAAACACTCTACAGAGTGACATAGAGAGAGACTGAAAGACAGTGAGAGCCGCGTACGACTACCAATATTGGACACTAACATATAGTAATCTCCGCTTACACTATCTCTGTAACCTGTTGTTAATATATCTTTCTTACATCTAATCCGTGTTCCGCGTTTTCCTTCTGTGGTCCCGACTTTGGCCCCACATCAGTAAGAATACCAGGAACATTGAAGAAAGAACATTTGAGAGATTTAGGTGATTATGGTAACATGGATTAATTTTATTTCGTTGGTAGCTTATCATTGCTGGTCAAATTCTCTGCCTCCGGGCAGAGAGGATCCCCAGACGACGCTATGTCGAAGAGTAGAGTCTCGGCTCGGGAAACAGCTACCCGACTTGTTTTAGTCATTATCGTTTCGGTAAGAAAAAGTGTATTAGTAACACTCGGCGTGGCACCATTTAACGAGGCAGAAAAAGAAAAGAAAGAAAAGAAGAAAAGGAGAGGCTAAGGACCAAATCGTGGATGATAAGCAGAACACACACACGGCTAAGAGACAATGGATAAGGGATATTTTGATAAGTAACAAATGGCGAAAGGGTGTCATTACAATGACAGGGAAATTCTGAGTAAAAAGAAAGGGAAAGAAAGAAAGAATCAGATATGTTTTAAGCGACGGCTGTGTTTTCTAAGGATATGAAAACAAACTAGTGGTACGGGAAGGCATCTTATTATCAACTACAGACCGACTGGCCAAAGAAAAATTCAAATGAAAATGTTATTTCGATAAGTGACGAAAAAACAGGCAACTAAAAGGACTTTGGACAGATATAAAAAATTAAAAGCCACCCACGAGTGTCCGCTGACCGATTTCTTTCGACGGAAAATCTTTGGCCTGCGATAATAAAATTATGTTATCAGAAATATGTACCGAAGGGAAATGAATGGGAACCCAGAAATGTTTTTTTTTCGGGGCGACGTTGGCCGTGTTAAAAAGACCACCCATTCTGATAATTAGCGATAAAATAAATGACGAAGACCAGGTGTAGAACAAGAGTTATGACCATTGTTCGTTGCCTGTTTGCGGCTAGAAAAATGATAACTGCGATTAAGAGGAAGAAAAGGAAAAAAAAAAGGAAAGATATTTTTTTTTGTTAAGCAAGATATTTTTTTTTCCTGAAACAAAGCCAAGCGGATTCGTCCACGCCCGACTAAGACATCATTGGTCGAGTGGTGATCACGTGACGCACGAAGGAAGGCTGTCGCCGCCCATCCAGAGTATAGGTATGAGAAGCTGCTACGAAGAAGTGGGGAGGGCAGTTCACGCCCCTCTGAAGTATGGTGAGAAGGTGGGAGTAAGAAAAAAGGTCCCAAAAATGGAAAAAAAAGTGGAAAATTCCTAACCAGAAATAAAAAGGTGGATATGTATTTAGAATTATCGAGGAACCCCCCGACGCCGACAAACCCCCCCCGGTTTTGGTCGGCGTCCATATAAGCGAAGCCGCAACGAGCAGAAATCAGTTCCAGTAAGTTCCAGTTCCAAGTTCAGTTTGTGTTGAGTTCAGTTCGAGTTCAGTCTCCAGTTGAAGCCGCCTCGCAGATAGCTGACCAAGATTCACGCAAATTCCGGACTCCTCTTCAACCCAAGAACAATTATTTTGAAGAGCGACTTAGATCCAGACCACCAAAATAAATTTTTTTTTTCGACTTTCGTCCAAAGACACACC